CCTCAAGCTCCTAGAAAAAGAAGAGCATAACAAACCCAAAGCTCATACAAGAAAGGAAATTATAAAGATCCAAGCAGAAATCAATGCAATGGAGACTTAAGAGAACAATACAAAAAATCAATGAATCAGACATATATAAACAAAGTCATGCATTCATTGTAGGAGCCGGCAGCTTGACAGCCCACAAGGACTCCACCTCCCTGAGCCTCACCTTTGCATTTGCGTCATTCTCTCTCACACCCTTTCCTGGCTGGCCTGCGTGACCACTGGCAAAGGTCAGAAGTGACGTCACGTCTGTGATTGGGTTATGAAACACTATGACTTCCACCCAGCACCCCCCCCCCCCCCCGGGAGAAGCCGGTTACCATTCTGTGAAAATTTTTCAGCAACTTACAGAGAGGCCCATGTGGAAAGGAAGACAGACCAGTGGCCAACTTGCATCAAGGACCTGCGGCCACCATCACCATGCGAGCGAGGTTACAGCAGATTCTCCAGCCCCAGCAGAGCCTTGAGGTGGCAGCAGCCCTGGTCACAGCTCAACTGTGGCTTCCGAAACACCCTGAGCCAGAGCAACCCAGATGAACCCCTTCCAAATCCTGACCCTCACAACCTCTGTATGGCAATAAACTGGTTTTCTGTTGTTGTTGTTGTTGTTGTTGTCTTATTTCTGTGGTTTTTTGCTTTTGGTTTTTTGAGACAGGGTCTCACTATGTAGTCCAGGCTGGCTTTGAACTTGCAGCCTTCTCCTGCCTCAGCCTCCTGAGTGCTGGGATTACAGGGGTGCGCAACCACACCCAACTGTTATTGTTTTAAGATAACAATGTGAGAGTAATTTGTTTTGCCACAGTGGGTGACAAATATAGCTGATGTTGGATAGAAAAGACGCACTTGATTATTTGAAGCTCTTAATATTTTAAGCCTATCATTGACAATCAGCATGTTTTCTGTTTAAATTAATATTAGATGACATTACTAAGGCTTACACTGATTAACTCTTTGTTTTTCTTTTTCTTTTTCTTTTCTCCCCAGTACCAGGAATCGAATTCAGGATCTTGCGCTTGCCAGGCAGGTACAGTACTGCTGAGCTAAATCCCTAGCCCTGATTAACTCTTTTTCTATACACCTAGCAGCCTTTCTTATTTTCTTAGAAAATTAGTTAATGCCACACAAAAGCACTAGATGGCCTTTACTTAAATATGTTTTGGATGAGATAGCATTTTGAAGAACTGCATCTGCCACAAAAGGCATGTCTTGCCAAACAGTGGGCTGGTGGTGTGGGTCACTCTGACATACCTTACTGCTCTTGGAGAAGGGCATGTTGCATAGAGGGTGTGACAGACATCAGTGCCATGGGGGTAGTATCAGTTGAGAGATGTATGATGCCAAGGATGTTTCACTAAGTTGTACAATGCCGAGAGATTCTGCTGTTACTGAAAAAGGACATGTGATGCTCCATTTAATACTTACCATCAACACTGTGACTTTCCACTTCCTAACTCCTAAGGACATCCAGTGCTCTGGTGGTTTCACTATCAAGGCTTCAGCAGTTCTTCCCTGGAAATCTCTATTGGAGTCATGGACACCTGGGCAAGCTGGCTGTTCCTACTAGGCAAGTGTTTGGTTGTGGCGGAGGATGGTGAAGGACAGGCAGGGAGGGAAGACAGAACTTCATATTAGTTTGCCACGACTGCCTTAACAAAGTGCCACCGAACCAATAACTTGGACAACAGAAATTTATTGTCTTGTGATTCTGGGGGCTAGAAGTTCAGATCCACAGGTTGCCAGGTTTGGATTCTTCAAAGACGTCTCTCCTTGGCTTGTAGCCAGCAGTCTCCTCTGTAGGATTATGCAGTCTCCATTCTGTACATGGTGTCCGAATGCCCTCTTCTCATGAGGACATAAGTCACACTGACTTAGGATCACCCTTGTGACCTCATTTTATCCCTTCGAATACTCTGCAAATCAGTCACATTCAGAGGTACTCGGAGTTAAGGCCTTCAACTAACTAATCCGAGGGACACTGCTCGGCCCATAAGAGGATTGAAACGTATTGTTCAGGTAAATAATTAACAGAGGAAACAGTCACTGGAAATCTTAAGCAGAACTGAATAAGAGATAAAATAAAAGTGATAATGGATTTAGGCTTCTTGTAAGTATATTATGGTAATTTTTGATGTGCTTTTTAACTGAAATTTTTATTTCTTCTGCACAATACATGTTTGATACTCAATTGGTACAAATACCTCAGTTCTAAGACAAATTCTCTACCACAGTTTTAAAAATTTATCTTAATATATATTATATTAAGCTTATATTGCTGTCATGTCTGTTTATCTACATAAAGAGAAATGTGTATTAATCATTCATTTATATTAGAGTTTATCATTAGCAAAAGCCCAGACAAATCCTTTACTCATCTATCATTTTTCAATTATCCCAAATAAAAGATAAATGTAAATATCCTACCAACATAACAAATATACAACGGGTATTATCAGTATTAACAGTACTCTTAGCGAGTGGGCTGCGAGGTTGGGTGAGGCATTTGACACCCCGTCCTTGTCATACAACCTCCCAAACAGGGTGACTGTCAAGACAGGTCTGGATGTTGGCTGCAGGCTCAGCAAGCGCCCATCACTCGTCACCTAAATGTAACACAGAGAAGTAGACCTTTAAGATATACAGTCCTATGACAGTGTCCTTGAAAGATGAAGAAGAGCCAGTGACAAATGCTGGCCAAATTCTAACCTGTTAGAAATATTTGAAGGGCTGGAGCTGAAGCTCAGCAAGCACAAGGCCTGGATTCCATGGCCAGCACCACACACACACACACACACACCATACACAGCAATTTTAGAGATACTTGAAAAACACAGAGAATAGTTTGAAAAACTGAAGCTATGGGACTGGTATTGATTGATTAGTATAAAAATGCTTGTGACTGATATTCCAGAAAGCTAACTCTTTCAGATCAATTCTTTTTTATTCTGGTCCGAATGACCAGAAGTGAATGATGGAGGGGTGGTCTGAACTGAGCATCTGTCGCCTCCTCCTGTCACTCACTGCTGGCCTCCCAGGCTTCCCGTGGCCCCAGCCACCCCCACCCCCCCCAGTGGTTTCTGACAGGGAAAAGGAATGAGAGCAGAATCTGCAGAGCTCAGTGGAAGGACGTGGCTGGGAAGGGCCCACGTGAGGCGAGCGAGTGCTTACTTCCGGGGTTTACAGTTTGTGTTTTCTTGTCAACACCAGCTACTATCAAATTCTCTCTCCTTCAGCTCCTCCTTCTCTCCCTTTCCCCTATGGTCACACGGGGCCCCCAGCCACATGAAGAGAAGGATCCCTTTATCTTCTCCAGGCCACCTGCCTCCCCCTCATGGTTCTAATAGGATTCCCTGCAGAGACTGGTCCTGAACTAGTCTCAAATCTCCTTCCTACCTGACAGACCATAAGCAGCTCAACCTCCTCCCTACGGCCTAAATGAGATTCATTTCTTTATATCCAAGGACACACTATCATATTAGTGACTTCTAGACAAGAAGTTTAGCCGGCTCAGTGTTGTTCCTGATCAACAAAGATAATCTGATCCTTTTCAAATGGAGATTTTTACAATACTTGGAAGCACTTGGGCGAGGTTTTGATGTCAAGAAGTGCTTCTACTTTTATGAAATTAATTGGCCATATCAAGAAAAGACTGTTACCTGAAATTCTCTGGGTGCGAGCTGAACTTCACTCAGCAAAACCTCGGGAAAGACATACTGGGTCCCAAAAGTGCCACTGAGGGAGAACATCTCGAACCTGGTAGCAGCTGTGTCAACTGAGCCACCACAGCTCTGTACATCAGGGGTTTTACACTTCAGCACAGTGCAAATCTAGAGAAGTAAAGCATCAAAAAGCCAGAGAAAGTCATGAAATTAGCTTTACCTAGTCATGTCACAGTGTATATATCAAAGTATCATATCCTCCATACCATTCCTGTTAATCTCATCTCAATAAAGCTGTGGTGAAATTTTTTAATTAATTAATTAATTTAATGCTAGCTGCTCTTTAAAAAAAAGTCATAAGAAAATCAACTGAAATACCCTGTATTTTAAAAAATCACATATTTGTATATGAGCAAAGACTGAAAAAGTCAATTAAGTTTTTCTTTCACTACACTATTTAGGTGTTTCTATACAAAATCTAACTAAGGAAGTCATCTCACTACACAGATGGGAAGTTTCCAGAAGCAAGACCCACATTTACTCAACTAGACCTGAATAGCATCTTCCAATCCACTTTCAGCTCTGGTCAGATCAAAGTATTAGCATCCAGCTCACATTTGCAGATGGTAGGCAGGCACTTCAGGGCAATGGTGTTGAGATGAGAGAAAAATAACTTCTAAGTAAAGGTACAATTAATACATGCTTCAATTTTATTCCCTTATTAACCTATAAAATGCAACACTAGCTTTAAAAAAAGATATAAACCCACAGGGCAGGAAAATAGGACAGACCACAGCAGTTTCAGAAGTTGGGGAGTTGATGCAAAAAACTAGTAACTGACTCAGCAGACCTAAGAAACCCAATCCTAAACTGGAGGTGGGGAAAGCCAAGAATCAACCCCACCCAGACCACAGGGTGTCCCAACAATTCCATCACTGGGACCACTTGGCACCTCAGAGCCAGGAATAATGTTATGGTGGCTAAAGTAAGAGAAATTAGTGGAAAGTTGTGAGAATGCCTTAGATACTAAGTCCTCCATGACAGATGAGCCCATGAGACTCCCACATGCCAATAAAAGACTGGGAATTTATTCCAGCGAGGAAAGCAGATGGTCTTTAGATGGAAATATGAATGATATAGTGATGGGAATTACATGAATACAATCATATTGAATGTTAAAAATATTTCCCTCCATTATCCCCTACAAGCACCCTGCAAGGCCATTTCTCCAGGTTGACTCTATAAATGCTTAAATACAGTAGATTTATCTTTCAGCAGTAGAAATACCAGATAAAATACAGGATGAGACAGTCAGGTAAGTTCAAGATCCGGGGATACATTTCAGTGGTAGAGCCCTTGCCTAGCCTGTGAAAAGCCCTGGGTTCAATCTCCATCACCAAAAAAGAAATTTGTAGTACAGTGAACAATTTTTAGCATAGGTACCTCCTAAATATTGAATGGGATATATTTATATTTTAAAAGTTGTTTATCTGAACTTCAATTTTACCTGTGCCTCCTGTGTTTTTATTTTAATTAAGAACCCTGTACAGGAAGGAAATTAGAAGGATCCTGAAACCTGAAACTTGATCCCAAGAGGAAGTTTCTAAAGGTGCTTGCCTCAGGGGTTGACCTAACAAAAGATACAGGTAGATCACCCTACTGTGAAGCTCAAGATTGGCTGGCAAGTACGTAGTAGCCACACACTCAGAACTTTCAGTTGGGTTGTGGTAAGTCCTCAAGCATTACCAGGTGTCTGATGAAAACTTATAACATGAAAGGGAGAGCAAAAGAAGAAAATAAAGACAAAGGAACCAGAGACACCTGTCTACAAAGATGGGGCCAAAAACCAAGAAGGAAGCTCTTCCCAAAAGCTGAAGCCAAAGCAAAGGCTTTGAAGACCAAGAAGGTGGTGTTGAAAGGTGTCCACAACCACAGAAAGATCTGAAGGTCACCAACCTTCCAGCAACTCAAGCCCCTGAGGTTTGCAAGGCAGCCCAAATACCCTCAGAAGAACAAATCCAAAAGAAATAAGCCTGATCACTACACCATCATCAAGTTCCCCTGGGCCACAGAGTCAGCTCCAAAGACGACAGAGGACACAGGCATGCTTGCATTCATTGTGGATGTCAAGGCCAACAAGCAGCAGACCAAACAAGCGGTGAAGAAGGCGTACCACACTGATGTGGCCAAGGTCAATACCCTGACCAGCCCTGATGGAGAGAAGGAAGCATATGTTCTACTGACTCCTGATCACGATGACTGGATGTTGGCAAGAGAACTGAGACCATCTAAACTGAGTTTAGCTGGCTAATTCTAAATGTACATTGTTTTATCAAGAAAGAGAGAAAAGAAAGAGAAGGAGAGAGGGAGGGAGGAAGGAAGGAAGGAAATACAGATTATTTACAGGAAAGAAATGTCAAGAAATTATTTTTTCAAAACAATATCCCAGGAAAATCAATGAAGGACACAACTCCATGAGGCCCAACAGAGGGATGCCACCAGGCAAGATCGAGATTTCACATATTTTCTGCAAAGCTGAAACAAAAAATTACATACAATTCTGACAACAGCCTTATAGCAATAAGAACATCTAAATCTTGGGAGATGCTCACCTGTTTGAGTTAGTTGAAGATAACCTATCACATCAACACATGGAAGGGGCTGGTGAGGAGCTCAGTGGTAAAGCCTTTACCCAATGCGTACAAGGCCCAAGGTTTGATCTCCAATATCACAATGTAAAAAATAAAATTAAAAACAAGCAAGCAGGCAACAATTAAACAAAACAACAACAATAAAGGATGCTTGACATGAAAAAAAAAGAAAATAAAATTTTTTTTCATTTTTTGTGTTACTGTGTCTTGAACCCAGAGCCTTCACACTCATCCCCCACCCTTTTTCTGTATTTAATTTTGATACCAGATCTCTCTAAGTCGTTAAATTGCCCAAAATGAACTGGAATTTATAATTCTCCTGCCACAGCCTCCCAGAATGCTGGGATTATAGATGTGCACTACCACACCTGGCTATCAGGAAAATTTTTTCTCAATAGCCTCAGAGATAAAAGAGAAAACACTGCATCCATGAAAGAACAAAAGAAAAAAATTTTTAAGAGAAAAAAACCAGAAAATTGGAGGACAAATCTACAAGAGCATTTAGATTTCCAAAATGAGGAAATTTCAGAAAAATGAAAAAGAGAAAGAAATTCTGCAAGCATTCTGGAGAGTATATAAGAAAAAGATATATACATATAAGTCAAGAAGCAGGCTAACTTCAGAATTCTCAGTAGACATACAGCAAAGCAGAAGGAAAATTATAACTACTTTTTAGTCCATAACCAGGCAAACACTTACCCGAACTTAAGAGAAAGATATTTTCAGACACTTCAGTCTTAAAAAACTTACCTCCCAATCTTGCCCCTTGAGGAAATTTAGTAAAACAAAGAGGGCATGAACCAAAACCAAGAAAGGCAGGGAACAGGAAACCCACAGAGAGGAATGGTAAGGAGAATCTTCCCCAGGAAAAGGGAGAGTCCAGGATAAGGCGGAGAGGGCAGCCAGGTCAGAACAGAGCAGTAGACTGAAGAGACGGGCATGTTGGAGGACTGGAGAAAAAAGCGAGTGAGGCTGGGAGGAAGCAACAGGGACTCTGAACTCAGAAAAAGAGGAAAGAGGCAAGGCCTAGGGAGATAGGAAAAGAAGTCGCAAGATAACAGTTTACAGAAAGAATAAAAGAAAAGCAGACAAAATTCAATTATTTTAAATTTAGGATTACCTGGTAAAAACAGCCTTGGAGGAAAATTGTTCTCAGATACTACTGGAAGGTACAGGAGTTTAAACAAAAAAAGCCAAAGAAAATTAAGTAAAATTTACAACAAGGCAATTAATAACTTTAGAACAAACAAAGAGAAAAGGAGTATACAACACCCACATGCTACTTGAAATGATATTTCTGTAGTCATAACAATATAAATAGTACATATTGAACACATAAAGGTTATATTGCAAGAATGGCAGAGGGGATGCAGACAGGACAACATAGCAGAGTTAAATGTTCCTGTATGCAGGTAAAAATCAAACATAATGACCAAAAATGGTGGCTTTTTAAAAATGGAATTATTATAGCTAAAATGAATTGCAATGGAAAAAGGGAAGAGGCAGAAGTGCCCCTAGAAAGGAGAATTAGAAGGACCAGAAACACTACAACTGTTACAACATTTTTAGTGCTATTTTCTCTTATTAACTATGTACATGAATTACTTAGAACAAATCCAGGCAATAAAAGCTTAAGAGTCTTGGATGTAAAGAGAAATGAAAGACTAAAGGAATTGTAGGACTAAAATTTATGAATAAAACATAGCTGTATTATTTAGAAATATAGAATAAATTCCAGAAAAACAAACTCTAAAAGATTCAAAACTGCAGTGGGGCATAGTGGTGCATGCCTATAATTCCAGCTGCTTAGAGGCTGATGCAGGAGGATCACAAGTTTGAAGCCAGGCTGAGCAACTTAGGGAGACCTTGTATCAAAACAAAAACTATAGAATTGAGGATGTACCTCAGTGGTAAAGAATCTCTGACTGTGATCACCAGTAACACACACATACACACACACACACACACACTCACAATTCAAAATAGTCTGCTCTCCTCTAGAAAGGAGAACGGGGCAGATTAGACAGAGAACTAGTGGTTTATAGGTCTCTAATGCTGTTTTTCTTCTTAATTATGTCTGTGATTACTTTGATTTAAAATGAATGAGGCTGGAAGGGATAGAACTAATCCAGATGGTAAGAAGGGAGAAGACAGTGGACATTTAAGAAGGACTAAAGCAAGAAAAGAATTGAATAAGCAGCTGTTTGGAATATAGCCAGGGTTGACCTGAGTGAAACCTGGTGACGTAGGGATGGTATTTAAAAGAAAAGATAATGTTTATTTTTAACTACATAATAAGAAAACCCCTCATCTCATTTTCATAATAAGAAAACCCCTTCTTATCATTTTCATACTAAGAAAATCGAGGACCCCTCATGCCAATCACAGTGCTTAACACTAAATGTACTTATTAAGTCAAAGTTCCTCAAAACCCTAGAAAGATTTGACTCAGAGAAACCCTATGTATGAGGATCCAAGGCATAAGGTACTGAGAGGCAAGAAAGAGGGGCAAATCCAGAGCGTGTTATTATTACCCTTTCTCCAGGACTAGTTAGGTCCTTCAGTGACAGGCTCTAATTTCATATGGTTCTTTTCCTTTGAAGCATTTGTCGTAACCAAAATTAAATAGCAATCTTCTTAATTTCCTGTTCAATAATTACCAATACTCCCTTTAGACACAAGCTCTATAAGGCAATGATCACATCTCTCCTACCCATCTTACTGTCTCCAGCCTGTGTCAAGTGCCTGTATATGACAGGCGTTACATAAATACTTGGTAATTGAGAATCGATCCCCATGGTATAGATGAAGGTAAGTAGAGATCTAAAGAGGTCAGAGATTGGACCAAGGCCAGGGTGCTAGTACATGGGGAAGCAAAGACTTGCCCAGGATTTTCTGATAGCAGAATTCATCTTGTTAACATATTACTCAAGTCCCTGAATTTGAATTGTGTTTTTTAGCAGATGTTTTATCACTAGTTTCTTATATCATTGGGGGATACATTTTTTATTCCAAAACCCCATAGGCTGGTCAATTACAGGACTCTGACCTTAGGTAAAGGACTCGGAGAGGCCAAAGAGTAGTAATCTACGGAAGAAGACCCCTAAGTGTATTTGATAAAAATAATTGACTTCTTTTTTTCTATTATTTACTTGCTTTGATTTACTCAATAATTTCTTAAAATATTCAGGCTGTTCCATCTCCCACACTGCTATAGAAATTGCTCTAAATCTTCACTTCCTTCAAGCTCTCCAGTCTGGTTTACCCAACTTTTACCACTCCCTCCTCTATAGAAAATGCCACACCTTCCTTCCTTCGCCACATCGTTAAAACTCTTACAAAATCCTGTACCCATGCAACACTTGGAAAATCTGTGACACAAGGCAGGGGTTTATTTCATCTTTACTTCTTTTTCTTTCTCTTCTTTCCTTTAGTTAAGAAGTAGCTTTTACAATAATAGTGTTTTCTTTCTTAACATAGGATCATAATTAGACTTTGAAAGAACATCAATATTATTCAATAACAAAATCCTTTATCCTCAAGACCAACATCTAAACTTCCCTGAAAATAAAGGATTTTTCTAAACCATTTGACATTAAAATCAAAGTGGAATAAACATGAGGCTGTAATGTATTTATTTAAGATATTTTGGGTGAATATTTCCATGTTTTCCAATAGACAGGCTTTTGTGTTTTATCCTGGGTGTTGCCCCAGACTCTGCTGGTAATATTAATGTCAAAATTCTTCTAAAATTAGAAAATTCCATATTCTACAACATGTGTGGTGCCCGTGGAGGTCACTGCCCAGAAATAACCTCAGAAGGCTTGCTTTTACCCAACAGAGAGGCCCTCTTTCCCACCACCTAAAAGGGACTTCCAAGCTCTCCTCCACGGGGCCCACGACTGGGGAAAGGGGGCAGACAAATAGGGCAATATTGAGGGAAAGGAAAGAGGAAGAGTCAAGAAAGTGCTATCTCACTTGATAGCTTTTATTTTTACTTAAAAATATAATCAGGGATTTAGCCCCATGGAGCCACACCTGCCTCGCAAACGCAAGGTCCAGAGTTCGATTCTTGGTACTGCAAAAAATAAAATAAATAAATAAATAAATAATTAAAATATAATCACACAAAAAAATCACCTATTTATTTTTTAAAATTTAGATGGTAATAATAAAATACCATATATACACAGATCTAATGTAAAATAGAACATGCCATTATAATACATGATGATATTTATATGGTAAAAAATATTGTTTGACAACATAAGTTTAACAAATTTTCTATTTTGTACTTCGTTTGTGATACTATTTTTTCTCTTTCCTCTGATGCCTTGGAGTATTGATTCCTCTTGTATCTGTGCCCTTTTTTCTTTTGCTGCTCTTTCCCTTAGGCCTAAACAGATAATCAAAGCTCTGTCATCTTTTGGAAAGGAACAAAACCTCTACAAGTCTCTGTCTAGTGCTGTCTTGTTACCCTTTTTCTTGTCTCAAAGTTTTTTTGGGGAAAAATTCACTCACTCTCTCAATATCTTCACTTCTCAAACACTATCATGTGTGCTTCACTCAGGGAGCTGATGATATTCCACTAGGACTGTTCCCATTAATGCCAATAATGCTGAACGTATTTCATAAACATGCCTCACAACTTCCTCCATCTGAGAGTCTCTACAATTTTGGGAGTCCACAAAAGTTCTCCTTGTAAACTCTTATTTCTCAATCATATTTGCACATTCCTATTCTTCTATTTCCTGCCCCAAACACAGGAGTTCCTAAAGGCTCCATTTCTACTATCATTTTTCATTGTCCATATACTCGTGATTCCCCAAAATAAGATCTAACTGGGAAATAAGGGCCGATCATTATGATGGCGATGGCCAGAGTCACGCAGAACATTATACCTCACTCTTGTCTTGATCGGTGGCTACTCTGTAAAGGCAGGTGAGGCAAGGTCACTGGGGCTGCCGTTTTCGATCTCCAGTTTTCAAACCTGCTTATTTTCTGGTTAGGTCTTATTTAGGGGGAAACAGGGTCGCCTCCTCTGCAAAGCCATTCATTTTTGGAGATTTAATCATCATGTGTACCCTGCTGATTCTCAAAAGAGTATTTGTAAGTCCAATCTCCCTCGAGCATTAAATTGATGTATTCAATAGCCTAAATTCAATTCCTGGAACTGGAGAAAAGTAAATAGCCTATTGAGTGGCTCCATTTGAATGTCCTGTAAATGTTTCAAAATTAGCTAGTCCCAAAATAAACTCAGCATCTCGCACCTGATTCACCCCCCTAGCATCCAGATCTCTCAGAGGCATCTCATCCACCTGCTTACTCTTGCCAGGAACCCAGCATATTCTAGACCCTTCATTCTACTTTCTGATCCCATATCAAATTAGCCACTTAGTTCAGTTTCCTAAATATTTCTTTACATTATATCCTGCATTTATTCCTACTAACATCATCTTGGTCCACAGCCTAATAGGGCCATTTTATTACTCTATCTAGTTTTCTTTTAATCTTAGTTTCAAATTATGCTGTGTGTCAAAATGGTCTATTCAATAGCAGATCCGACCATACCATTCCCATGCCAAATACCTTTCAACAGCTGACCGCCAACAGTGGAATGAAGTACAGATCTTTACACCAGGTAGGAGCCTAGGGGATATGAAGCTGGGGCCAGGCTAATCCTCCACCAGCCCTTGCTGTTCATGTTATGCCCAAGCAACACTGAACAACTTGCTCCTGCATGCTCTGGTCTTCCACACATCCACATCCTTGTTCATCTTCCCAGCCCACCTAGAATCCCCTCCACTCTCTTTCACCCAGATGATAGCATCAGTGTCAGAAACTTCCCTGAATCCTCAAATTAGACTCAGTTCAGTCCTTATTCCCCTTACAGCAAACTGTGCCTACTACGTCTTCTCACTTGTCAGCCTTTACTGGAATTCTCCAGTGGAAGGTTTTTCTATGGTACTAGGTATGAAATTTCTCAAGAGGAGAGTCTATGTTTACTCATCTTCCTGTCATTGCCACTGAATGTCTTCCTGGCACATAGTCGGTACTCAGTAAATGTGTGTAAGCACAGACAAGCATTGCTAGAGTGCTCACCATAAACCAAACACAGTGTTATGCAGTCAGCATCTCCAGCATTCAAAGGCACTCAGTCTCAGACACTTATGTGAAGAATGTGACGTAAAAAGAGTTTGATGAAACTGAGCATATGATGTTCTGGGAACACACATGCAAAGTACTCAACCCAGGCGGAGAGGGGCCATGGTGCTGCAGTAGTGTCACGGCGAAGACAGTAACTGAGCATCACTATGGAAACAAACGTGCAAACATCCACACATTTCGCAGAAGCTGGCAAACCGGAGGACAAATGTATCAATATGGCACAATCCAAGACAAGTGTGAATGGAGGGGAAAGAAGGGGATAGAGAGGAAGAGGGGACCACACATCAAGCCTTTGTGAGTCTTTTAGGTTTGGGAACTTGACTCGTCAATTAGTCAGTGAAGAACTGTAAGAAAGTGATACAATCAGAAGTAGCTTTGCATGATTTTTTGCAATAATAGTGCAGGGAATGGGGTGGCTGGAGCTGAGCTGACCCTAGGAACTCTGTTAGGTGGGTCCTGCAATTATCTGAGTGAGAAAGGATAGGACAGAGCAAGGAAGAACAAAGACCTGTCTCACCACACTACGGTAGCTCGCTCTCTAGGTCAAGGCTACAAGACATCAGGATCTGCAGCCATAAACTATTCCAATGAACAACCCCAGACGCAACTCCAGCTGTCTCCAGTACATATTTAGAGTCAAGCTCTTTATACAGCAAGAGCAGCATTAGTGAACAAAGAAAATGTCTAAGTTTTAGTCAAGAAGTAAGTACTTAATTATCCATCAAAATCATCTGTAACTTGAATAACTTTTAATGTTGATACTGCAAATGAGTGTTATGCCTTTTGTCCAACCAGTTTAAAATTGGACTGACATCTAGAATTGTAATATTTACCAAATAAAAATACAAGCTGCCCAGCTAAATTTAAGTTTCAAATAAAGAAAAAAAAAATAGTACACATATATTCCCTAAAGTGGGACATACTTATAGTGCACTAAAAGCATTCATTGTTTATCCAACATTCCAATTTGCCTAAGCATCTGTAGTTTATGTCGTAACTCTTCTGACCCCAAACATTACCTGTAGATGATAGCGTCCTTCAGCAGTATGCAGCCCATCAAATGCTCCTAAGGCATAAACTTCATCTGACCTCTTCTCAGACATCTGGTAACTTAGATGACAGCAAAGATCTTTCTGGCAAACTGTGTAATTTCCTGTGATTCCTTTGAGCTCCACAAAGATGTATTCGTCAAAAAAGACAGTTCCTTTAAATTCCTGGTTTCCTGCCCAGAGAGCTTCTATACTGCTGGCATAAGAAGTCCAATTCACTGTGGGGCGGTATGGATGGGAATCCAGCTGGGACAGGAGGAGTTTTCCCTCCTGGGTCTTCATATCGTAATGAAATGTTCTTGGAAAATCTGGTGCATAGATGCCACTTCCTGGAAGTAAACAGTTGGAAGTACTGAGTGAAAGGTATTTCATAGTTGCTATTGTTATTGTAAACTCAAATTATCATTTCATTTCCTATAAGCCATATATTTTGTTAATTTTAGTAAAATATGCTGATAAGGAGTCAGAGAGATGAGACAAAATTCAATAAAATATGACTCCAGGAAGGAAAAGTTTTCTGTAAAAACAGAAAAGGAGTATACACTCAAGTTGAACAAAACTAAATCTACACAATAATTTAGATTGAGATTATTTCTATAGCATGTCACTTGCTGTAAAATCAAGAGTTGGATGGAAAGCTACATGACTATGATCTCAACTCTCCAGGAGCTGAGTGAGGTAGGAGAGTCATAAGTTTGAGCCCAGTGTGGGCAATTTAGCAAGTCCCTGACTCAAAATAAAATTTATAAAGAGCTGTGGATGTTCTTTCTACCTCCCAATAGCTATCCTCCATTTTGCTTCTTATTTATCCTTTGGGTTTCCTCACACAAGAGAAACAATGCAATGTTTAAATTTTTGTGTCCAATATTTTGCACTTAAAATTATGGTCTTGGGGTGCATCCATTTACTTAGAAATGTCTCAAGCTTATCCATCTTTAGGCAATAGTACTCTACTGTATATAAAAATCGCATTTTCACAAGGGAAGGGGAAAGGGAAGGAAGAGAAAATTATTTTAAAAAGCAAATGGGAGGAAAAAATGGAAACAAAGCTTTTGTAAATGGGAAGGGAAAGAAAGGTTGAAGGGAGGGGAGGGGAATGGGAAAAAAGAAAATATATTTTGCACAGGTACAACTTCCCTATGATGAATGTGATCATTAAGCATGTACCAATAACAAAAAACCTCCAAAGGTGGGGGTGGCTGCAGATGTAGCTCAGTGCAAAGGGCGGGGTTTAATCCCTAGTACAAAAAAATGTCAGAAAAGTCAGAAGAGATTGTATTGAGGAGCACATGTTAGTTATCAAAAGATGATTTTTTAAAACTGAGTCTTGAAGACCACGCCTTACCTGTCATTCTCCTCAAAGGGTTATGTAAATTGGAGGCAACGAAATTGACCCCCATGCCCATAGCCCAGGCCGAATGGAATTCAATGGCTGACAAATGTGGCAGAACATTCATCCAAGCTGTGGGGAACAGTATGGTGTTCACGTGGAAATCTTTCACCAGCGCGACAGCAGGATCATGGAAGAGAACATCAAAGCACGTGAAAACGCCAAACTTTCCAAAGGCGGTGTCGAAAGTCACCATCTCAACCTCCCTGGGTGTATCGAACTGTTCTTCACCCATGAAAAGGTTTTGCTGGGATAAACAGAAGATTAAAGGAAAAGAAACCCTTTTAAGACGTTGATCTAGATATCACTGTGCCTGGAAAAGCGGACGCTCACATCTGGTAGGCAGTGCCAGTTTCATCTACGATCATGGTCTTCACCAGGAAACGGGGAGCCAGAGGCCCCTACAGTCAGTTGGAGCCTGCAGTTCAATCTGCACCCTGCCGATATGCACATGGCACCCTTATCTCTACAGACCATCTGGAACCTTAAAGGTGAAGGAGTGAAACACATAACCTCTGTTGCCAAGGATACTTAACTGTTTCTAAAGCAGAGAACTTTATGAGCTTCTTTCTCCTCAAGGCCAAGCCAGTCTGGTAAATGAGTTCCTAGGCACCCGCTCTAAGAGTCTTACCACACCTCCTCGTTGCTTTTAATGTTCTGTTCCTGCTCTGTTTCTAAAGCATCCTTATTATCAATTATAACAATTTTCCTCTCCTGCCCACTAATTCATTAAGCCTTCAAACACCTGTTGATTGTGCGCTCGTTTTACCTTATGGTAGCGGGCCACCAGCTTTCCCTGAGAATCGAACACCACGTTGGTGTTGTACTGGTAACGGCCGTCGGGAGGACACTGGGGGTCACTGGCATTGCACGGCTTCTTGTCCCCTATATTTGCCACCACATAGATAGCATTGTCCTTGGCCAGGCAGCTGAGCCTTTCTTGCACCGGGGTGTGGCCAAATCTGGTATATTTTATTGGAAGACAAACATTTTTGATCAAGCTTAGCTCTTAACTTAATTCAGAATGATAACTGCCTGAACCGATTTTTTCCTATATACAAAAATACATTCTACATAACAGGGCCGGGGGTGTAGCTCAGGGTACAGCACCTGCCTGGCAAGCATGAGATCCTGAATTTGATTCCTGGTACCAAAAAAGAACAAAAAACTACCTCAGAATTCTAAATAACAATAGGTAGAAGAGAAAGATTAACATGAGAAGGGCTCTGGGCAGGCTGGCACACATTTATAATGCCAGTGCTGGGGGAGGCTGAGGCAGGCAGATCACAAGTTTCAGCCCAGCCTGGGCAACATAGTAACCCAGAAAGATTCTGTCTCCAAATTTAAAATTTTAAAACAGAGCTGAGAACGTAGCTCTGTGTGAAGGCCCTGGGTTCAATTCCCAGGTGGAGGAGGAGGAGGAGGAGGAGGAGGGAGGAAGAGGGAGGAGAAGAAGAGGGGGAGAGGAGGGGGAAGAGGGAGGGGAGGAGGAGGACTTCGAGGACAACGAAGCAGGAGGAGGAAAACAAACCAACAGAAACCATTCCTGAGAAAGACCAGAGGTAGCTCTGCAAGACAGACTTTAAAATAACTGTCTTAAAAATGCTCAGGAAACATGTGGACAGAGTCAAGGAAAGGATGTATGAATAAAATAGAATTATCAGGCTGGGGATTTAGCTCAGTGGCACCATGCCTGCCTCGCAAGCACGAGGTCTTGAGTTCAATCCCCAGTACTGAAAAAAAAGAAAAAAGAAACATCAATAAAGAAAAGCCTAAGAAAACCGAAAGGAAATTTTGGAGCTGAAAAATCACTACCACTGAATTCAAAAATAAGAGGAATTCAAAGATTTGGCAGACAGAAGAATCAATGGTCATGAAGACAGGATAAGTACAATTATTAAATCTGAGAAATAACAACAACAAAAAATTGAAGAAATGGAAATAGAGCCTTAGCAACCTGTGGAACACCAAATGAACCAAAAATATCCATGGCGGGAGTTCTAGAAACAAAAGCAATTTTTTGAAAAGATAATGCTCAAAAACTTCCTCAATTTGAAGAGGACATGAATAGTCCAACAAGCTTATGACACTCCAAGCAGGATGAGCACAAAGGATCCACACTGAGATGTACCATACTCAACTGAAAACCAAAGACACAATGAGAATATCAAAAGCAGTAAGAAAAAAGTGACTCCTGACATGCTTATAATCTCCAATAAGATTACTGGAAATTTCTCATCAGAAACTGTGGAAACTTTTGGAGAAAGCAGCAAACATATATAAAGTTATACATAGTGTGCTGAAGGAAAAAAATGACTGCCAACCAAGAATCCTATATCCAGAAAATCTGTCTTTTAAAAGTGAGGGAGGGCCGGGGATTCAGCTCAGAGGTTTCGCCGCCTGCTGCGCAAGCACAAGAACCTGAGTTCGATCCCCTGTACCAAAAAAAAAGTGAGGGAGCCATTAAGACATTTCCAGATAAAGAAAAACTGAGGGAACTTGTTACCACTAAATCTGTTCTATAAGAAATGGGCAATGGAATTCTTCAGGGTAAAATGAAAGGAGATTAGATGGTAAAGCTGTTTAAAGAAATAATAATCTAAGTAAAGTTGTATACATAAGCAAATACACAGGCAAGTACATTTGTAACTTCCATTTGTAACTCTAGTGTTTGTTTTTTACAGAATATACTATCTTCAGAAAAAATGATTAGCTTACAACTCATATTGTACCCCACAATTTGTTTCCTATATAATTTAAGAGATCAGTTCATTGAAAATTATTAATATATTTTGGGGCATACAATGAATGAAGATGTAAACTAATAACTGAAATTAATAACTGAAAGGAGACATATATAAACAATTTATGTTATTAAAGTTAAAACCTAAACCTGATCCTAGCCCTAACCCATGGTCACACTTCAATGATTTACCTAGACACACCCAGAACTGTTTTACTAATCCTTTAACCCACTTAGATGGTCAAAAGAACTGTGGTGAAAATAGATATAGAATGTACAGAAAAGCAAGGAATTGAAATTATCCCATGCATATTATCAGACCATAGTGCAATGAAATTCGAAATCAATGGCAAAAGAAACCACAAAAACTTCATAAACACATGGAAACTAAATAGCACCCTCCTGAATGACCAGTGGATCATAGATGAAAGTAAAGAAGAAACTAGAAAGTTTCTACAATTAAATGATAATGCCAGTGCGACATACTGGAATTTATGGGATAAAATGAAAGCAGCCTTATGAGGGAAATTTATAGCAGCGAATTTCCATATTGGAAAAACAGAGCAAGCTCAAATAAACAACCTAATGTTGAACCTCAATTTTCTAGAAAAAGAAGAGCAAGTCAAGCCCGAAGCTCATACCAGGGGGGAAATTATAAAAATCAGAACAGAAATTAATGCAATGGAGACTAAGAAAACAATACAAAGAATCAATGAATCAAAGAGTTGATTCTTTGAAAGACTAAATAAAATTGACAAACCCTTAGCCAACATTATCACAAAGAGGAAAGAAAAGGCTCAAATCCATGCAATTAGGAATGAAAAAGGTGAAATCAAAACAGATCCAGCAGAAATCCAGAGGATCATCAATACTTACTGTGAGAACCTGTATTCCAATAAGATGGAAAACACAGAAGAAATGGACAGTTTCTAGATACATATGAATTATCAAAGCTAAATCAAGAAGATATAAAAATTCTAAATAAATCAATGTCAGTTAACGAAATAGAAGATGTAATTAACCTACGAACAAAGAAAAGCCCAGGTCCTGACGAACTCACTGCTGAATTCTACAAGAAATTTAGAGACTTGTTACCACTACTCCTCGAACTCTTTAATGAAATTGAAAGGGAAGCAATAGTCCCAAATTCATTCCTGAAAGCAAGCATTACCCTAATACCAAAACCAGAGAAGGATCCAGCCAAAATAGAGAACTACCAGGCCAATCTCCCTAATGAACATAGATGCGAAAATCCTCAATAAGATACTGGTAAAAAGAATGCAGCAAATCATCAAGATTATATAACATGACCAAGGAGAATTCATCCCAGAGATGCAGGGACGGTTCAGCATATGCAAATCAATAAATGTAATACACTATATTAACAGAGCCAAAGACAAAAACCATAATGTCATCTCATAGATGCAGAAAAAGCATTGACAAAGTCCAACATCTATTCATGATAAAAAAAAAAACCTTATAGAAAATTGGAATAGGTGGTCTTTATCTCAATATGATAAAAGCCATCTGTGACAAACCAACCACCAATATCATACTAAACAGACGAAAACTGAAGGTTTTCACTCTAAAATCTGGAACAAGACAAGGATGCCCACTATCACCACTCTTATTCAACATAGTTCTGCAAACATTGGGCAGAGCAAATGATAAGAGAAGGAAAGAAATAAACAAAAAATAAGGACAGAAAAGGAAGAAGTTAAATTGTCATTATTTGCAGATGACATGATACTCTACATAGAAGACCCCCAAAACTCCAGCAAAAGTCTGCTAGATTTGATAACCAAATTCAGTGGCGAAGCTGGATACAAAGACAGCACTCAAAAATCAATAGCATTGGTCTCTCTGCGGGATGCTCCGACGGGACTCGATGTCCCTGAGGCCTGTGGGAGACGGGTAACGGGAAGGGAGCAGAGATGACTGGAGATTCGTTGTGCTTAGGAAGGGGTAGAATGAGAGAGAGACCTGCTTGGAAACACTGGACCACAACCTTACTCCCTCACGACCAGCTGCTTCCGGCTGCGCCCCGCGAGTAAATGGCGCCCTCCGGCGGGCGCTGCCTTGACCTGGCGCGGAACGTTCCGCTCAGAGCGCGGGCGGGAGGGGAGAGGAGCATTTGACAGGATGGCACAGGATCCCTTAAATGAGACTATGGTGAGCGCAGGAGGACGCGTGGCAGACAGGGGAGAGGCGAAGCCCGTTCCCTCTGCGGCCCAGGGAGGGCGAGGCACGGGAGAGGAAGGACACGGCCCGGTCGGCGGCTGGGCTGGAGAGGTAGACAGGGTCCAGTACCAGGGACCAGGGCGGGCAAGCTTGGATCCGGGCCTAGAGCGGTTCTCCAAGCCTGGTCTCTGGCCCAAGACCGTGGCAGGGACGACCTGAGATCCAGGCTTTTCTAACAAGGTAGGATTTGCCTTTGTCATTGTAATTCTCTTAAGAACCCCGGTGGAGTTTTCCTGAAAATAGACTGAACATTGCTACCAAGGCGCTCCTAAGGAATGCATTGTGTGCATTTCTCGTGTTGTAAATTTTTCTTTTCGATTTTTCAAGACAGAGTCTCACCGGGTAGCCCAGGTTAGCTTCCTGGGTGCAGGGACTACAGGGCTGCACACCGAGCTAGGCCATCCGCCCTTTTTAGTTTTTGAGGCAGGTTCTCCTTAAATTGCCCAGGCTGGGTCCCAACTTTCAATCCTCCTGCCGCAGGCTCCCAGGATGCTGGGATTACAGACATTTGCCAACTCATTTTCAAGTTCTAGTATAGTAAATAGCCCACATAAAAAAATCAATAGCATTACTGTACACAAATAACAAACTGAGAGAGAAATTAGGCAAACAACACCTTTCACAATACCATCCCCCAAAATGAAATGCTTAGGAATCAATCTAACAAAGAAAGTAAAAGACCTCTACATTGAAAACTATAGTATTCTGAAAAGGGGCATCTAAGAAGATATCAGAAAATGGAAAGATATCACTTGTTCTTGGGTAGGAAGAACCAAAACAGAGAAAATGGCCATACTTCCAAAATTGTTATACAGACTTAATGCAATCCCAATCAAAATACCAATAGCATATATCACAGAATTAGAGAAAACAATCCTAAAATTCACTTGGAATCAGAAGAGACCTAGAATAGCAAAAACAATTCTGGGCAACAAAGGCAAGGTAGGGGACATCACAATACCTGACTTGAAATTATACTACAAAGCTACTGTGATTAAAAAAACAGCAACAAAACAAAACAGACCCAAGGATCAATGGAACAGACTAGAGGATGCAGAAACAACGCCAGACACACTCAGCCACTTTATCTTTGACAAAGGAGCCAAACACCTTCACTGGAGGAAAGATAGCCTGTTTAATAAATGGTGCTGGAAAAACTGGCTTTCCACATGCTGAAGACTAAAACTAGACCCATATCTTTCACCATGCACTAAACTAAAATCAAAATGGATCAAGGAGCTAAATATTAAAACAGAAACACTAAATCTGCAGGAAGATAGAATAAGTAGAACTCTTAAAGACATTGGTTTAAGCAGAGGCTTTATGAATAAAACCTTGATTGCACAGGAACTATTACAAAGAATCAACAACTGGGACCTCATCTTATTAAAAAGCTTCTGCACAGCAAAAGAAAGCACCAAGTGAAGAAACAAACCACATTGTGGAAGAAATGTTTGCCAGCTGCTCCTCAGACAAAGGACTAATATATAAAGTATATAAAATTCAAAAAAATCAGAACCCCCAAATTTAAAGACCCAATCCAAAAATGCGCATCTGAAATGAATAGACATTTCTCAGATGAAGAAGTAGAAATGACAAATAAACATATGAAGAAATGTTCAACATCACTAGTCGTTTTAGAGATGCAAATGAAAACAATGCTGAGATTCCACCTCTCTCCAGAAAGAAGAGCTGCTATCTTAGCTCAGTGGTTCTTCTGCTTGCCTCACAAGCGCAAGGACCTGAGTTTGATCCCCAGCACCAATTTAAAAAAAAAAAAGAAAGAAATCAACAAATAACAAATGCCAGAGGAGCTATGGGGAGAAAAGGAACCCTTCTTCACTGTTGGTAGGAGTGTAGCCTGGTGCAATCACTGTGAAAATCAATGTGGAAAGCCCTCAAACTAGGAAGTCCTAAAACTAGAGGTTTGATTTGACCCAGCTGTTCCCTTTCGATTATCTTCCCAAAAGAATTAAAAGCATCATACCACAGCGATATATGCACACCCATGTTTATAGCGGCACAGTTTGTAATAGCTAAAGCTTGGAAACAGCCCAAATGCCCATCAACGGATGATAAATGCATAAAGAAGATGCAGTTTTTTTATACAATGAAGTACTACTCTGCCATAAAGAAGAATAAGCTTGAGACATTTCTAGCTAAATGGATGCACCTTGAGACCATACTCCTAAGTGGAATATATTGTACACATGTGTTTAAATATAAATTGTTTCTCTGGTGCAAGAAACCAAAAGTGTAAATGAAGACCAAAATGTATAATGGATATTGGGAAATGGGAAGAATATGTTCAAATAGAAAGGGGAACAAAGGAGGGGGACGGGAGGAGGATGACAAGGAAAAAAAGATAGGCAAGGGACGAGAAAAAAAGAGAATAGAAAAATGGAAACAAAGCTTCTGTAAAGAAGGAGGGGAAAGGGGTGAAAGGAGGGGAAGGGAATGAGGAAAAAGAAGCAACAAGATATTTCACGCACAGGCACAAATTCCCTATGATAAATGTGATCATTCTGTATATCTAGAATGCGCCATTAAATTTAAAATATATTTAGAATTCTGAAAAAAATAAAATTTCAAAATCTAATTAACGTACATAGAAAAAGTAAATAAAGCTATTCCATTCGTAAAGTAAAGAATATACAGAAACACAATGAGAAGGGAAATCGAAATGTCTCACTACAAAACGAATCACCTAAATACAAAAGCAAACAGTCATGCAGAGAAGGAGAGACAAAAAGGTACAAGGCACATAGAAAGCAAATGGTAAAATGACACAAGGAAGCCCCTCCTTATCTTTAAATTTCAGGGATAGAAAGCTAACACAGGACCTGCACAATGGCCATCAACAACATTTTCCCAGATAAAACAAGATGATGATGATGATAGAAATTTTCATGTTTCATTTCTTTACCTGTTAGGATTATCACAGGGGATCCAATTCACTTGAGGGTCTGGGATGTCCTCCAAGTATGGATAGATCAATTCCCTGGTAAAATTGATGCCATAAATACCATCTTCTGGAGTCACAATAATATATGCACCCTGTCAAAAACATAGCTAATGAAAACTTTTCTCAAATACACAAAATTCAAAGGAGGTGGGTGCTACAGGAAGAAGTGGGGTGCCGACAATTCTAACCATTTGTTTTCTGTATTTTTACAACTTCCTGTCCTTTCCCAAACACTTTAAGTGTCTAATCCTGCCACTGTAGTTTCTATATGACTCTTCCATTCTTTCGTAGATATGGACAGTTTTCCAGGACACTCACGGCTCCGGCAGCCATTGCAATCATTAACTGTGTGCCCAGCTCTTCCCCAGACCCGTCCTGTTCTTGAACTTTGACCAGTCATTGTGCCTGCCTGTGTCAGAATTGATTTGTAACTCAAGTGCTCTATTAGCTTCTTCTTCTACCCCAGTCTCCCTGCCCGTGTACCCTGAAAACATGATTCCTGCTCCTCACAAGGAGGGCGTCTCATGGGTTGCCTGACCTAGAAGTACTTCCGGATTGGAAGAGTCACCTTGACAAGCTGCTGTAGCCTTTAAGCAAACAGTTGGACAAAACATGAAAAAGAACTTCAGAACTACTGGTAACCTTTTAAATTTTAATATGTACGACAATATATTAAATATTCATTGTGTATGGCTGTGCACACTTGTAACTCCAGCTACTAAGGAGGCCGAGGCATGAGGGTTGCAAGTTAGATGAGACTTTGTCACAAAGTAAAATTTTAAAAAGGGCTAGGATATAGCTCCGTGCTTCCTGGGCTCAATCCTACAAGCCTCAGTACCATAAATAAATAAATACATACATGTATACAGACACACATACCTACCTATGAGTTTTGTTACACTTCTACATCCCGTTTTATCCCTGATCTACAACTGTTATTTAAATAATAGCTGTCCAAATCACACACCTACAATGTATGATTTGCTTTAAACTTGATCATTCAACTCAAGGACTTACCATAAATTAACATATACACTTTTATCTTGTAATTAGAATCAAATATGAAGTATATAATACACACTAGCAAGTAACTTGCAACTTGGGTGTAATAGTTCCCAACTTGTAAATTTACCTGAAAACCTACAAACTCTTAGGAAGCCAAGAGTACACCAGGCCACTAAAACTCCAAGAACAGCGCCGGGTCCCTGCCCCATGGGTCCCCACCCTCCCAGCGATGCTGAGTGGACAGCAAGTTCCTCAAAGTTCTGCTGCTTCTCAGTGCTGACCAGAATGTTCTTCTCTTAGCCTTGTTCTCATTGTTAGGGCAGCAGACCAGTGTCCTTGCTCTAACAGTGTGAGTAGAAAGTTGGATTCTAATTGTAACCAAAGATCTTGGATGCCCTGATACATATATACTGTCCAAAAATGTTACTGACCCTCACCAGGACCCTGTTCCCCGACTCACTGTCTTTCCCGAAGAATTTAGCACTGGAGAGATAGAAGAGATGCTACCTGTTTGGCTGCTGATTCGATTGCTCCTTCCAGAAGATCCAGGTTCCGATTCATCAATGTCAACGCCTCTTCAGGAGACACCGGTGTTAGGGTAGCATTAGGCAGTATCACTGCATGCTCATAAACAGCTGCTATAAAAGTATCCAGGGAGCTGACTTTTATGACACAGAAAACTGAAAATGCTGCAGAAACCAGCAACCGAGAAGGAATCATGGTGAAATCCAAAGACTGCTGAAAACCAGGACATGTCTTGCTATTTATACAAAGAAAGCACACTGAGTCACATGACTTCCAGAACTTAGGATCTTAAAGATAAATTACAAAAGCTAATCTTCCACCGGGCGTGGTGGCAGATCACATCACTGTAACCCCAGCACTTGGGAGGCTGAGGCAGGAGGATCACTGTGGGTTTGAGGTCAGCCTAAACTACATAGCGAGAAAACAAAATAAAACAGTAAAAGCTAACTTTCAGAAAACTCCATGTCTTCATACTATTCTGAACCAACACAAGTCCCTCTTCCTGCTGAGATGATCTGGGGGCGGAACTCAGGAACTGTGTGGGTGCTAGCTTTGTAGGGGCTACCTAGCAAAGTTCCAGAAACTGGGTGGTGTAAACAACAAAAATGTATTGTTCTGGGGCCAGGGATTTGCCTCAGTGGTGCTGCCACCTGCCTCAAAAGTGCAAGGTCCTGAGTTGGATCCGGGTACCAAAAAAAAGTATTGTTCTGGAAGGGCGAAGGTGGAAGGTTACAGCAGGGTCGGTTCCTCGTTAAGGAAATGGTCTGGGCCTGTCTCTTGGGCTCACACATGGCTAGCTTGCTATTCTTCTTCAGCAGGTGTTTTCCCTGGGTCTTATTTGTGTCCAAGTTCGCCCTTTTTTTGAGGAAAACAGTCATTAGATTTAGTGCCCACTCAACTCCAGTACGATCTCGCCTTTACTAATTAAATCGAAAACAACACTATTTCCAAAGAACGTCACCTTCTGAGGCACTGGATTTCAATATATGAACTTTTGTAACTCATGTGTCTTAGATTTTCAACATAGATTAGCATGTGTGATTTATTATAGGCAGCTAAGTCAGATAGAAAGGGACTGACTGACTGGAGGAAGTCAGCAGAAAAGAAATAAAGACAACAGAATCGTGGCTGGAGGCTCATCTGTTGAAGACCAGGCCTCAAGATAAAGATGCAATGGCCAGGCCTACATGCTTCCCCAAGGGATAAACAGTAACCTGAATTTATTCTGTAATTAGCACCACCTGGTCCAGTAAGTCCAGATAGGCATCAGTGGCCCGGGTAAGTAACCTGAGCATCTGGTCCCATCCCTTCCCCCAAATGTCTTTGTTTTTCTGTGTATCCTTGCTATGTAACTCATTTCCCTAATGGATCAATACTACCTAAGTGGCTACACTTGTCATCCTACAGGTTTACTGTAGTTTGACCCATGTTGTACCCATGTTGTGACTTTATTGTATAAATTATCCTTGCCAAAGGGCCTTGGTGGCCACCCTAGTCGGGATCCCTCCCGGAAATCCAGGAGCTATTCTTCTCTCCCTATGTTCAGTTAAACTCTCCTGACTTCTTTTGGTTCCTGATTTCATTCCTTGATGTTGTGGGACCACAGCCTCAGCACACTTGACATCTGACAGGTTGGGACTTATATTTCCCCTGTATCAATTTGAAATCACAGAAGCTGTCGTTCTCAGAGTAGAAGACAGGCAAATACAGAGGATAAAATTCACAGGAGCAGAGCCTCATGCTGAAACCAGGACCCCGGTAAGGACCACCTGACGAGCGCTTAATGAACTGCTGGAAGCTCAGGTGAACAATCTTGTGACTTAAAACTCCATTAAGGTAAGGGCACCCTCACACGCTTGTGAGTTTTCCCTCCTGCTGTATGTTCTCAGGCCAAATGGACTCAAATCAGGCTGTAAATCCCCTTGTGTTTCTTGCAGGCAGAGGGGAAGTGAGCTCATCTTGAACTGTGCCCAAGGTAGAGCCTGCCCTTGAGGGAAGGCATTTTACCCGAGCCTGTTGGACAGGAGCTAGGGAAACTTCAGTGCTAACTCCTCTAACTTGACAAGGGGAAAGTAAACCCCAGCTCTCACTCCCTCTGCCTTGTCCTGGCCCTAAGGACACAAGAAACTTGCCTGGAGTTGCTCGGGAAGGTGGGTCTTAGACCTGCACAGGCTCATTAGGAGACTGATACTGTGTCACAGGACCAGGGAACACTTCCTTCCCCTGTGTGCTACCACCACATGGACCCTGTGTTTCCGGCTCCCCTAGTGTGGATCAGGCAAGAGCAAGGCTGAGATGAAACACTGTACTGCTTGCAGTAGAGCGTCCTTGGCTGGGTCTACGCCCAGGAGGCACCCACAGTCTGCATGGATGGAGCTGGTGCCTCTGGAGTAGAAAAGGGACATCTCTCTGCCAAGAGAAGGGACGGGGCGGGGTCCACACTAGCCTGACCCACAGTGTGCCCCTGCTGCCAGAGCAGCCACGACTCCAGCCCTGGCAGCAAGCTCCAAAAGAAACAAAGCAGTAAATCTTGTCCGATTCAAGCAGACAGAATCTGAAACCAGAGACATGGAGCCAAGAACCAGGGCTCAGTGGGGTTTGCACCATCTCCTGCCTGTCCCCTGGTGGACTCTGAAGAGCCAAGTGTACGTGTGCACCTGTGCATGAGATGAAATATGAGACCGCATCTCTGTATCACCGCTAAACACATGAGCTGAGGACTAATATTCAGTGGCCAGGACTCAGTGCCAACGCTTTCCTTGACCTTAATCCAGTTGATGAAGTTGTTCACATCGAAAGTATATATTTTGGCTGTAAGACACAATAAAAGGGTTTTTGCTCTTTTAGTGTAACCTCTAAACATTGGCCCATGACCTCTTCCTGAGAATAAAATTATAATTTAATTTCAAGAGCTTAATTTTTAATTCTAGAAATGGGTAAGGAAAATTCCATAAAACAAAGTAAGTGTTACTATGGGCTGAGCAGAAAAATATTGTTTCTATAGAGAGAGAAAGGCTGATGAAAGCAGAAACAAAAGAACAAAAAATGGCTTGGTCACTTTCAAGTGACTTTTCTTGCAAGGTGGAGACTGGGAGACAGAACAATAAAAAACTATTTGATAACATCAGATTGTATCCTTACTTCCTATGTATACAGATTAGAAAGATGTCTGTTATCAGGCCAACTGAAACTTGAAATTTGAATTGTCATCTCTCTGGTCCTGATTTCTCAGAGGGTCAGATAAGCAGCATAGTTTCCACTTGGTGATGTGCAAGTTTACTGTGATTCCATTTGGATGTTTAGCTTGGTTGGTTGGGGTCCAGGCCAGGAGCTGATTCCAAAACAATAAACTCCTAGAGTTGTTTATTTTTATTGTGGTACTAGGGATTAAAGCCAGGGCCTCCACATTGAGTCTTTTTTAATTTTAATTGTGAGACAGAGTCTCCCTAAGTCACTAAGTTGCCCCAGCTGGATTCAAACTTGGATCTTCTTGTCTCAGCCTTCCACAGAGTGCCAGGATTACAAATATGCACTACCACACCTACTTTATAGTGTTTGTTTTATTTTGCAGCCTAGACTGGCTCTCATTTTTTTTATTTTTACTAACCTGTGAGTTCTACTCTGCATATCAGAAAATACTTGGTTGAAGTTCTCCAAAGAAATAGTCTAGATGAGGAGGACACAGCTGTGGGAGCTGAGTCTAGCAAAGCTCCTCATTTATAAGTTCATTCTCAACAAAATGAGAAGTGAGGTGAGAGAAGCGAGAAAGGCCAGGCAGTAAAGAAAATTAAAAATGTGAGTATTAAAAGATAGGAGGGCAGTCGTGGTGGTGCACTCCTGTAATCCCAGCACTCGGGAGGCTCAGGCAGGAGGATTGCTGGGAGTTTAAGGCCAGCCTGGAGTATATAACTGAGGCCCTGTCTCTAAAACATAAACAAACAGACAAACAAACAAAGATAAGGGGTAAAACAGCTTCAATGGGGTTAAGACAGACATTCCCTCTTGGAGAATAACAGCTGAGGAATGACCGTGAGATCTGATTTTGAAGAGAGGCCAGAAGTCTGGTTGGCTAAGAGTGCACACAGTGAAGGCAGATGAGGAAAGCAAGGCCAATGTGCACACCAACCTCCAGACAGCTGTCTAGGGGAGGAGGAAGAAGCCTCAGAGGAGCCGATGTCAGGCCATAAAGAGGGAAGCTGCCCATGGCATGCATGGCCAGAGCACCCAGACCACGCTCTGTTACCTCCCTGGGATCTGAGGGCTACAGTTCCTGAAGAGAGAATCTAAGAGAGAGGGGAGTGGGGAGTCCAAAGGCATTTTCTGCTACCCAGAAGGTCTGTGGCTTTGCAATACTGGATTAAATTATATCAGCTGGGAATAAACACCTAGCAAAGGTCTACACATGCAGTCACCACTTTCTATGGGGACAAGTGCACTCTGAACTCTGATCTCAGTGATCCTCAGCCTCCCCAGGACACCCGGGAGAATTCACCTGCCCTCCTGCGAGTCTCTTCCAAGAGTTAATCAGTGACCAACAGGCGGACTGAGAGCCAGGGTAAGTGGGCCAGAGGTTGCTAGGGGAAAGGTGACAGGGCCCCTTCTAAGGAAGGGGCACAGTTTGCAGCCAACACCTGCGTACTGCATGGGGCTTTAACCAGAACGGGACAGAATTTAAGATGGAATTAATTCAGAAGGAGACAACGCAATCTCAAGACAGTTATTTATTTCTTTATTATTTCCATTCTGAGCATCTAATTTCCATAGTAATTGACCCTTCAAGTCAAGTAGATTATGATAAAAAGATAATGGAACAATTTAAATTAGCTACAAATCATTCATAATTACTTGAAAAGATGCCCCTGTCCACAAATGTCTATATCACTTGACTGCAGTCAAATACCCTCTGGATATTCAAAGTTCAGCCTGTGTATCCACACACAATGTGCACTAGTCAGGATTTACCAGAGCAACAGAACTCACAGGACACACATTGATGTAACACATTTTGTTTTGTTTTGTTTTGGGGTTGTTTTGTTTTGTTTTGTTTGGTACCAGGTATCAAACTCAGGACCCTGCACTTGCAAGGCAGGAGGCCGAACCACCGAGCTAAATCCCTGGCCCTGTAACATATTTATTATAAGGTGCAGAGTCTCCAGCTAGGGAGAGGCTGAGGAGTCCTGTGCTCTGCACTGCACCTGCAAGCTGGAGCCACAAGACAGCCAGGG